ATTCCTGGTTCTTTACGTGGATGATATTCTACTCATTGGGAATGATGTAGAATCCATGAGTAACATAAAGGAATGGTTAGCCAACCAATTCCAAAAAACAAAATATGGGAGAGGCAAGTTATGTTCTTGGAATCAAGATTATTTGAGATCGCAAGAAAAGACTGTTGGTGTTGTCTCAAGCACCATACATTGACAAAGTGCTTGTCAGATTCTTGATGCAGAACTCTAAGAAAGGAAATTTTCCTTCTAGGCATGGTATTCATCTTTCTAAGAAGCAATGTCCTAAAACTCCGTAAAAGGAAGAGGACATGAAAAGATATCCATATGCATCTGTAGTTGGGAGGCTCATGTATGTCGTGATGTGTACTAGACCGGATATCTGCTACTCAGTGGGAGTAGTCAGTCGCTACCAGTCCAACTTAGGATTAGATCATTGGGTTGCGGTGAAATGCATTTTCAAGTATCTTAGGAGAACGATAAACTATATGCTAGTTTATTCCAGAGAAGATCTGTCTATCATCGGATACACAGATTCTGACTTCCAGTCAGATAGGGATGCTCGACGGTCGACATCCGGATCTGTGTTCACTCTTAACGGAGGAGACGTGGTATGGAGGAGTGTTAAGCAAAAGTGTGTTGTTGACTCCATCATGGAAGCTGAGCATGTTACAGATTGTGAAGCATCAAAGGAAGCTACATGGCTCTGTAAGTTCTTAACTGATCTGGAATTTGTTCCAGATATGGATCAGCCGATTAAATTATACTGTGATAACAGTGGAGTAGTGGCTAATTCTAAAGAACCGAGAAGTCAAAAGAGTGCAAAGCATATAGAGAGGATATATCACCTGGTACGCAATATTGTCGAGAAAGGTGATGTACCTATCCTAAAGATCGTGTCGAAGAACAACCTTGCAGAGCCGTTCATGAAGACATTGCTGCTAATTGTCTTTGATAGACATCTTGAGGCTTTTGGAATTAGGGATATGTCACACCTGTTTTAGGACAAGTGGGGGATTGTTGGGAATGGTGTCCTTAAAGCAGGAGATGTAATAAGGATATTTTATTATTTGATTAATAAAATAGTTTATTCATTATTTATGTGCATGTAATTATTGAATACCTTATGAATATTATTAAAAATTTCGTGATTATTTATGTAACCTTAAATGTTGTATATAAGTGTTATATACGAGAGGATAATATTTAATGATAATAATCGAAACGATGTCCGTAATGAATTTAATTAAAGTTTCAAAATTTTTAATTAAAACATTACTAATACATGTCATTCCCATTAAGAATGGAATGATGTTATCCGCATCATTAATAAAGAGGAATATTGAAAGATAATATATAAGGTTATTGAATGAGTGTATTATGCATAATGAGATTATGCAGAATTGTGACACGGACACAATTTGATTTTATGATAATTTCCGTTAAATGTAGAAAATCAAATTTGAGTCTACCGATGGTCATATATAGAATAATCTCAATCCTGAGTTGTTAGTAGACTCCTATTTGTGGATTCGTATTCTTTGATTTACTCGGTACAGATTTTGAGATACTAAATCCTATTCCTTGTATCTTGGGAACATGATGAAATGGATAGCCGAGAATGTTAATATACAAGATGAAATCCATTCCTTCTTCTTTGAAGAAGCGGATAAATAATTTCCTTGAGGGTTGATTTGGTACTTGAATAAGTAACGAGCTCGTATTCATGAATGTGTTTTATGAATATACTATTCATTAGTGAATCAATGGTACTCAAGGATAAAGATGTAATTAGAGAGGTTAGCGGATTCTACCTAGCTCTAATTATGAATTATTTATGGAGGATCGATCTATATGTAGTGACTATATCAAATGGACACTTCAAGTTCTTAGAAGTAAATTATGTCTAATTTCGAGAGTGCAATTTTAAGTTTTTGGTGGAGTAACTTTTAGAATTAATAGAATTAATTAAAGAGTTTAATTAATTATTAATTTTATTGAAGCTCAGAATTATAGGTCTATAAGTCCCCGCGTCATCCTTATATTCTTTACAAGACAACATGAATTATCGTGATTTTATATCACTCGTGAATAATTAATTAAGAATTAATTATTTTGTCACACACTGTGCTGGGACCACAAGGGGCGTGTGACACTGGGAAAAATACACACTGGGATTTAGTTGCTTCTTCTCCAAGTAATCCGGTTTTCTTGTTTGACAAGTAAAAGGTTAACTTGTTTGACAAGGTTTACTTGTTGGACAAGGTTTACTTGTATGACAAGTAATTCCAAAGTAGAAGTAAAGTTTTACTTGTTTAACAAGTAAAAGGTTTAGTTGTTGGACAAGGTTTACGTGTATGACAAGTAATTCCAGAGGAGAAGTAGAGCTTTACTTGTTTGACAAGCTTTGGTTTAACTTGATATACAAGCTTTGGTTTAACTTGTTTGACAAGTTTTGATATAACTTGTTTGATAAGTTTTTCTAAAGGAAGAAGAAAAGGCTTATCCTAAATTGTCTATAAATAGGAGACAATAGTAAATTGGAAAAAAAAGTGGTAGAAAAGTTTTTCTCTCCCTAATTCACAAGAGTTGGCTGAATTTTAAGAGAGAAAAGAGAAGAAAAGTTCTTGCAATTTTCCTAATTCTTTCACATACATGTGATGATAGTGAAAGAGTACAAATTATTGAGTGATCCGATAATTTTCTTGAGCCCACACTCTACGTCTTGCAAGTTTCAAGGAGTACACGAGGAAGACTTGGGTTTTCTAAAAAAGCTTTGGAGCAAGAATCGGTCGTTAGCCAAAGACTCCAAGTTATCATCCTAATCGTCAGCAAAGTATCCATTGTTATAAATTAATGAGATTAATTTATTATTGTATAAATTAATATAATCTATATCGTCCGTAAAAATTTTGTGAAAATTTTTATTCGGACCCGATCTGCATTACCACGCTTTCACACTCGAATTTAATTTGGAAACCAACAAATATTCGACCATGGGGTATCATAATTTAACTCTCTTGTTGTAAGACCGTGCTGCCCTTGCTGATAGGCGGCGAGGCGTAGTTGAGTCTTTTTTCTTCTAACAGGCTGAGTTCTCCATTCATGGCTTCTGCATTACTGTCGTCATTGTAGACAACAGTTCTTAGAGTCGGTGTCTCAATTTTTACGGGGAGTACCACCTCGACGCCATATGCCATGGAGAAGGGTGTTTCACCCGTGGTGGTTCGACTTGTCGTTCTATATGCCCATAGGACCTTTGGAAGTTCTTCTGCCCATCTGCCCTTTAAATTGTCGAGCTTCTTCTTTAGGGTATACTTTAATATTTTGTTGACGCCCTCGACTTGACCATTGGACTATGGATGTATCGGCGCCGAGAAGTCCTTTCGAATGCCTAAGCTATCGTAGAACTTGCATGTTGAGGCATTATCGAATTGTTTCCCATTGTCAGATACTACTGAGTGTGGGACCCCGAATCTGCACACGATGTTGTTCCACATGATGTTGGTGCAAGCTGCTTTTGTGGTCGTTGTTAGAGCCTTTGCCTCTGCCTATTTAGTGTAGTAGTCTACTGCGACGATGGTAAACTTAAAGCCTCCCGGGGTGAGGTGTAAGGGCCCGATCAGGTCGACCCCCCATTTGGCAAAGGGCCATGGACTGAGAATAGGGGTTAGGTTTTCTAGGGGTGCTCTAGGGATTGTGGTATATTTTTGGCACTTATCGCAGCGTCGAGCATATTGGAACGCGTCTTTTTTAAGCGTAGGCCAATAGTACCCTTGCCTAAAAACCTTAAGAGCTAAAGACTACCCCTAGTGTAATTACCGCATACTCCTTCATAGATTTCCCGGAGGACCTCCTGGGCTTCGTTATTGTTTAGGCACCGCTGCAAAGGCGTGGAATAACCTTGTCGGTAAAGTAAGCCATCGTATAATAGGTATTTGGTGGCTCTATACCTGATTCGTCTGGCCTCGTCTTTATCATTCGGCAACTTTGCATCCGTTACATATTGGATGAGTGGCATCATCCAACCTTCGTCCGTCTGGATGGTCATGGCCTCTATTTTTTTCTTAATGGTCGGCCGCTCCAGTTCTTCGATAGGAACGATCCCTAGTATGTCAGAATTCTTTAACGATGCTAGCTTTGCCAAGGCGTCGGCGTTGGTGTTCTCAGTTCATGGTATTTGAAGTATTTCATAGCTTTTGACCTTGACGAGCTCTTCCTTCACCTTTCTCAAGTACGCACCCATTTTTTTACCGCGCGCTTGGTATTCCTCATTTACTTGTCAAACAACCAGTTGAGAGTCACTAAAGATGCCGAGCCTCTCGACTTTCAAGTGATTCGCCAGTCGTAGTCCTGCAATCAGCGCCTCGTACTCGGCTTCATTATTCGACCCCATGAATTTAAATCGTACCGCCGAAGTAATCTTGTGGCCTTCCGGGCTGATCAATAGGACACCGACTCCTGACCCATTTTCGCTCGATGCTCCATCCACGTAGAGCCTCCACTTCATTATCTCGACTTCTTCGTGTGTGGCGGGTGTCAGTCTGTGAGAGAACTCGGCTAGGAAATCAGCCAGCATCTGCCCCTTGATTGCTGCTCTCGGTACATACTTAATGTCGAACTGGCTTAACTCCACCGACCATTTAAGAAGTTGACCAGATGTTTCGGGCTTTTGCAACGCCTGTCTTAACGGGTGGTTTGTAAGAACCCGTATTGTGTGGGATTGAAAGTAATGCCGAAGCTTCCTTGAGGCTACCATCAGGGTGAGGGCCAGTTGTTCCATTTCAGTGTACCTTGACTTGGCGTCGAGGAGTCTTTTGCTTACATAGTAGACAGGCAGTTGGGCCCTTTCTTCCTCTCTTATTAGCACGGAGCTCACGGCGTGTTGTGACACAGAGAGGTATAGGCTCAACTCCTCGTCGGGGATAGATTTTGACAGGATCGGGGGCCTGCCTAGGTGCTCCTTCAATTTTTGAAAGGCCTCTTCACATTGTGGTGTCCATTCAACAGTAGAAGCCTCTATCGGTTATGAAGGATGTGTGCTCCTTGTCGGTTGGATGCATAGGGATCTGGTTGTATCCGGAGTAGGCATCCATAAAACTCAGCATCTCATGCCCTACAGTGGCGTCGACCATTTGGTCTATTCGAGGGAGCGGGAAACCATCCTTTGGGCAGGCTTTGTTGAGGTCACTGAAGTCGATGCATGTTCTCCATGTTCCGTTAGGTTTGACCACCAAAATGGGGTTTGAGACCCATCGTGGGTAATAGGCCTCCCTAATGAAACCGTTGTTGATTAACTTATTGACCTCTTCTTTCAATGCCTCGTACCTCTCCAGGTTCATTGGTCGGTGCTTCTGGCGTTTAGGGGGATATGAGGGGTCAATATTCAAAGAATGGCATATGACTTCTGGGTTGATCCCTTCCATATCCGCATGATTCCAGGCGAAGGCATCCAGGTTCTTCTTGAGGAAGCTCTCGACTTCCACCCTAAGTGATGGGGTTAAGTTAGAACCTACTTTCAGCACTCTAGTTGGCTCGTCCTCATTGACTCGAATATCCACCCGACGAGTTGAGACCATGTGGCCTCTTCTTGAACCCTGGGGTCTATGTCCTCACTGGCGCCTTGATAGACCATTCTGGCCTCCTGCCTCCCTGGCTGATCATATCCGCGCAAGGCATCAGAATACGCAACCCTAGCCTCGTACTGGTTGCTCTTTATTTCACCTACACTGTTTGGGGTATGGAATTTGACCTTCTGGTGGTAGATGGAGGTTATTGTCCTCAACGCCTGAAGGGTCGGCCTCCCAATGATGACATTGTATTTGGAGCATCCCTTTATCACCACAAAATTGGCCATTATAATGGCTTGTCGAGATTTCTCCCCGGCAGTTATAGGCAGCCGGATTGTCCCCTGAGGGATGACGGAGTCCCCAGTGAAATCGTACAGTGGCCTGGAGGTTTTTTCCAATTGCTCCTTCGGGATACCCATATTTTCTAGGCAGTCGGAGTATAGGAGGTCTACTGAGCTCCCATTGTCCACCAGGATTTGGCATACGGTGTGATTTCCAATTATGGCTTCTACCACCAAGGCGTCATTGTGGGGGAAGTGAACCCCGTTGGCGTCATCCTCATTAAACGCTAAGTCAGCGCTGTCGAACCTTGTTACTTTTGTGGCAAAGACACTACATAACCTTTCCTGGTACACCCCTTTGGCTTCGTGGGCGTAGTCTTTTTGAGATCTCCTCGAGTCTTCTCCAATATACGGACCGCTGAGGACGGTTCATATGACGCCGACGGGTTCTCGGTCCTCTGGTCGCTGGTTCTCCTATTGGTGTCAACCGTCATTTTGAATGCCGTGGCCATCGTTTCTTGGTCTCCGCTTGGCCTTGAACTCCTGTAGCCTTCCCTCACGGATTACCCTTTCTATCTCATATTTAAGATCGGTGTAATCATTGGTGTGGTGGCCGATGTCACGGTGGAACCTACAATATTTTTTCTAGTTCCTTCGGCTGGGATCTGACCTAATCGGCTATAGGCGGCGCAGTAAGTTCCTGTGACCTACCTGATTAAACACTTCCTCGACTCCTACTGTTAATTCATGGTAGGAATCGTACCTTTAAAACGGTCGAGGCTTGCGGTTCTCCTCTTGCCTCAGCTTTTTAGCTTCTGGAGTGTTCGGCGCCGAAGCAGGCTACTTGTCCCCTCTTCCTCCGCCTCGTCGTTTCTTTCCCTCCTGCTTTCCTACCGTCGACCCTTGTTCAGTCCCTTTGTTTTTATTGGACCTGTGCTCGGGGTCGTTTGCATCTACTTCCTCGGCGTTGATGTACCCTTGCGCTCGTGCAAGGAATTCTTTGTAACTGGACGGGGGCTTCCGATTTAGCTCTCTCTTGAAGGGGGTAATTTTCTTCATGCTAGATAACGCCCCTATCAAGGCCTCTCTGTCGGTTATATCCATTGTCGCGACGATAGCTTCCCCATACCTCGCGAGCCACTCTTTTAACGACTCGTTTGGCTTCTGGTATATCGTTGTCAAATTCTGCTTTAGAGGGACATATTTCTTCACTCCCATAAACTGGAGAGAAAATGCTTCATTCAACTCATCCCAGCTTGAGATGGAGTTTGGCTTTAGCGGTCGAAACCATCTCCGGGCAGAGTCCGTTAGATGGTTTCGGAAGGCTCGGCACATGATCTCCTCGGCATATCCATGCAAGAGCATGTGCCCCGTGTACATTTCTAGGTGATCGTCGGGATCCCCTCTGCCGTCATACGGCGGGATCGACAGTGACCTGTATTTATCGTGGAGAGGTGGTGCCATAATTTCTGCGGTAAACGGGTGGTCGTGCGTCCGGCTAGGTGTGATGTCAACATTCACCACCTTGGCCACTCACCCTATATTTTTCTTTAGGCCGGCGACATCGCCCGTGAGCTTTTGCTCTAGGTTAGCCATGCGCTCCATGATGGCTAGTGCCTCCTCCGTAGAGATTGCTGAACCCGCAAGAACCGGCTCCTCTCGACACTTCTGCCCTTTGTGCGTTGGGTCCACCCCTTGCCCGTCTGCCCACTTGCACTGACCCCGCATCTCCTGGAAGGTTTCTACCTGGGTTCTGAGGTGGCGCTTTGGGGTTTCCCAGACCTCTGGCTATTTGGTTCTCAGGAGCCCGGAGTTCGGCGGCCCTTAGACGACTGCCGGCGGATTGGGAAGGCCGAGGCCTGGGATCACCTCTAAGATTCTCACTATCCCCGACTCCTTCTTTTTCTTGGAGGCATGGTTGCTGACTACTTCTTTGTTGTCGGGGGTCAAACGTATGAACCAGAGATTCTGGGTTCGGTCCCCAGTGGAGTCACCAATTGTTGACGGCTGAATTTTGACAATAGAAATACGCCAGGTTACCCACTAGTATCCCGTTGGGTTACCGGCTGGAAATTAACTGTATATTTGAAATTATGCTATGAAGTGTTTGTTGTATTTTTGGAAGCACGAGAATAATGCTTGAATGAGGACACACGAAATTTATAGTGGTTCACTCTGTTAATGAAGAGCTACATCCACTTGTGTATTGTATTTCTCTTGGGACTTTTACAATTTACATGCACGTATATTCTCTCTTTGATTCAATACTCGAGAAATCCATCCCCTTCGTGTATGGGGCTTTGCCCCTTTTATAGCCCAAGCTTCCTTCGGGGGTGGTTTTCTTTTGTAGGTAGAAGTACTCGAGTGGCCTATCGTTATAGGCCTAGATCATAGCCAACTAATCACCTTTTGGACTGTTCACTTAGCCAATTGGTCTTCCATTACAGCTCTGTGGAATTGTAGGGTGGTTTAGGGGATTGCAATTAATGCCCGTGCTGCAGACGTCTCCCATCCCTAGACACAACTTGTGATGTCAAGCTCCTTTTTGAAGAGTATTCCCCTCATCATCTGTGCTGTGTAGACCTTATGTTCTTTCTAACAGTTGACCCTTTCCAGAAGAACTGTTGCCATAAGTTCGACGGCACAACTGGTCGACGTCCAGAGTTGGGACTTTCTTTGCAGCGTAGAGGGGAAGCGAGCTTGAAGCGTCGAGGGTTGTCACCTTTTAAGAGAAAGCAAGGCCACGTGTCACGCTGTCGCCGTTCCACATGTCACCCATATTTTTCCACACAATAATAATATAATAATAATAGTAATAATAATAATAATCTCTTCCTTTCTATTTTCTCTACTACCAAAAAATCTACATTTTCATTTTTCATCCTAAAATCCCTCCACCTTCTTCCTTCCTTCTACTTTTCTTTCCTACCAAACATACTCTAAAAGGAGAACTCTTAGGGGGCGTTTGGTATGGGGTAATCATAGGGGTGGGAATGAGAATCTTTCAGATTCTCATGTTTGGTACAATTATTAGACTTTTTTAAAACTCAGGAAAGTGAAGCCCATGGGTTTCACATTACCCCATTTTGGGGTAATCCTAATCCCACCCAATAAGGTGTTATTCAAATTCCCAAGAATCTCAAAATCATGGGAATCTCATAATAATAATAGTAATAATAATAATAATAATAATAATAATAATAATAATAATAATAATAATAATAATTGTTGACGGTCAAATTTCACCAACAAAAATCCGCCGGGTTACCTATTGGTTTTCCTTTGGACTACCAACCGTGGGTGTATTTAACGTATGTGGATTTGTTGAACATGTGTGTTTGTGTGTTAACTAAATCATACATGGACAAATGACACAAGAAATTTTTATAGTGGTTCACTCTATAAAATGAGAGCTACATCCACTGTGACTTTGTATTTATGTTTAGAAGGTAACAATTTACAGCCATTGCTCTTCTTCAATCTCTTTTTCTTTGGAATTTCTCAACCCCTGCCTTATTGGGGGTCTTCCTCCTTTTATACTGGGCTTCCTTCGTTTAGGGGGTTTCCTTCCTAGGTGGGAGCACTTAAGTGCTCTTCCTTGGTAGGCCCAGATGTAGCCCACTAATCAGCACTGTTCACCCAGCCAATCAGTCTCCTATTACGACTATGTGCTTCTCCGTAATACTTTTCTGTCCCCTATGTGGGGCGGTTTGAGAGCTTGTAATTAATGCCTGCAGACGTCTTCCACTTAAGCACGCAACCCGTCACGTATTCTAAAGAACGTTCCCCTCATCGTCAGCGCGGCTTGGCCCAATCGCCCACTTTGGATCCTTTCTGCGGCCGAGGGATCTTCGTGCCTACGACGCGATCTGTCGACGCCATAAGGGATCATCGTCCTAATTTGGGCTTCGCGCTGTCCAGCGGAATAGGAGGGGTCCGTAGACGTCGAGGGTTTTCTGCTTGGTGGGGAGTGGTCAGGGCCACGTGTCGTATTATCGTTCGTCCACGTGTCCGTCACATTTTCCCACACAACAGCTACCCCCCAGGTTGAGGGCTCTTTTTGGGTGGCCTCAGACTTAGGTTCGGTTGTCCTTCCATGCTTTGGGTGTGGGAAACCGGTCCCGAGCCTCCGTTTGCAATGATGGCCTGGGCGCTTCAGATTTCCTTCGGGGGACGCAACCGTCGCGTCGATTGATTTCTCATGATAACATACGACCTTATTTTGAAACGATGAAAATGGGCCCTTGGATCGCGACCTCTCCGCTTCCCGCCCTCTTTTATCACCGTTAGATCTGGGCATGATTCCCTTGCCGTTGGATTTTTTAAAATCTTCATCCGACGGTCAGGGTCGAGGATGTCCGTTCCTTTAAATACCCTTTACGAACTCGAGAGCCATTTTTTCAAAACTTCAAACTCTCTTCGCACCTGTTGGACTGCCGCCTTCTCCGACGGACTCCTCCCTCTCTAACCTCCGGTTCATGCTTCCTGCTCTTCGAGGCATATCGCGCAGCCGTTCTTTCTTCCAGACTTTCCCGGGAATCCTTCTTCACCGGTAAGCCTTTCCATCATCTGTCTGTTTTTCTTATACACGGGCTCCTTCTATTCTTTTTGTTTGAACTATGTGTATATGTCTAAAGAATGTGCGGAATGTAGAAGTTAAGGAGACTTACTCCGTTTTGTCCTTCCGCTTCGGATACCATCTCTTTGCTATCCGTGCGCTTCCGGTTTCTGGTTCTGGGGAACCTGGAATCCTATGATCACTCACCGTTATCATTCCCATATGAATGGTCGACGTCAAGTCGAGACATTTTGAGTTGTCATCGTTTAGAATAGCCATCCTTTCTTCCTCTCGACGTTAGGGTTTTAACTTAGCTTCTTGTCTTTTTAATCACCAGAACAATGGCCCAAAGTTCCCCCAGTCGAGAGGATTCTCCTATTGTCCGTCTAGACCCCCCCTCTGTGGTGGAGATTTCATGGTCTTCTTCGTCTTCCAGCGTCGACTCCGTGCTGAGGGACACTGAAGATGTTGGAGAAAGATATGAGCCGGGCGACGACTTCGGAAGTGAATTCGGTAGCGTCGAACGGTTTCTGGATGAGATAGTTGAACGGATCCCCTTCACCGGGGGTAGAGTAGGCGGGGTTGCTGCCTTGACGGTAGATGCCCCCTGGCTGCCACGAGTGGTGAGCTGGATTGGCCTTTCTTCACCGTCGACGTTGTGGCGTCGAGGGTCCGGAACAAAGATATCATCCGGGCTGTGAAGGAAGGATGCATTGACGGGAGGTGGTTCGAATACCTTCTTCCGGATGTCCATTTTAGAACCAGCATGCCGCCGACCGGATACCTTCCGGTCTATACTAGAGCGGTTACGGCGGGGATGACCCTCCCAGTTCATCCTTTTGTAAAGGACTACTGCCATTTTTACGGCATTTCTCCCGCTCAGCTGGCGCCAAACTTCTGGTACTGCTTCGCCGGTGCCTGGATTTTATGGCACCAGCAATTCGATATGGAACT